CCCATCCCTGCTGGCCCAGGTCAAAGTGTATCCATGGATTTTATGGATACCCTTGTGACCAGCAAGAGCGGTAAACGACACATCTTTGTCATTGTGGACGGATTAATCACTATGCCTGAGACAGCTAGGACTGACCACGCCATCAAGCTATTTATGGACAATTGGGTACATGACTTTGGTCTTCCTAAGTCTATTGTAAGCGACAGGGATGTCAAATTCACTAGCGAACCGTGACAAAGTACAGCCCAACAGATGAGTACCCAACTGCAAATAACATCAGGGAACCACCCTGAGTCAAATGGTCAGGCTGAACAAATGAACCAGGTAGTGCAGCACTTGAACCAAGTCAAGATGATTGGGACCAGAAATCACCCCTCGTCACCAGCCTGTATAATAACGCCGTGCACAACACTACTAGCGTGACTCCCAACCAACTGCATCTAGATTGGAAGCCCCTATCTGCATTAGACTTCCTGTACCTGAACAGCAGCCAAATGCATCACCTGGCAACATATAATTTGTTGTCAAATACGAACAGACGTTGCAGCAGGCTGTAGATCACATAAAGAAAGCTCAAGATGCCATGATTGCATCTGAGAATATACATAGACAGCCGTCTGAGTTTCAGGTAGGTGAACGAGTCTAGGTAAAGTCATATGAGTTGGGGCAGGAATTAGGAAACTCACGTAAACTGAAACCAGAGTACTTAGACCCCTGGGAAGTTCCTGACATAGTGGTAGATCAACCAGATGGGCCATCATATATCGTTCGCACCCCTGGACACCTACGTACACACCTTGTCTTCCATGCATCAAAGTTGGCACCTTTCTCTATCACTGATCAGTTTCCCTCCACGAGATCGATGCTGCCCCGAACAATGGACGAACATGTTGACATTGACAACATCGTTGAGCAGAAGCTGATGCCTGTGCCCAAGTCTCCAGGCAGAGGACGTCCCCCAAAGCCACAGATGCAGTATCGGATGCGGTTCAGACACCACACTCATCCTCAAGAAGATCGGTTGTCCACAAGAGAAGAATTAATGAAGACTGCTCCCCAAATTATCTCAAGTTAAGAAAGAAATTTGAAAGGGAAGCAGCCTGCTACATAACGACTTCTCAGAGGACTATCGAAGTAAAGGAGGAGGGAGTGCGAGGCTATGACCCCTCAGCATATGGCCCTGCAACAAGCGCGTGCCCTCCCTAAGTGAAGGCGGGCCCCCTGAATCTGTATGCGCCCCGAACTCGTCAATTTTTGCAAATCTTGATCGGCGCCAGACAGTTGCCACGTCCCAGTTGGTTACATCCGCCCTGCACGTGAGGATGGGAAAGATTCGTGAGCCTTCCAGGCCATTGTAGCAACGTGGTCGAAGCAGAGGGTGTCACACCTTTGCCCTTAGGTTTGGCATGCGTAACCAATTTGGTCCCAGGCCACTGTCTTAACGGGCCTGGACGCAGACAATTCGGCCCAATCTGAAGCTACTGGGCACACACGATGTCGGCCCGAGCAGCAAACAGGCCAGACCACTTGCATATAGCAAGGAGCCTGGCACAAGTGGGGCTATTCGTGCACTTGCGCTTGCGGGGGGCAGCGCTGCTAGAGCATCGACTTGTGGGCTGCTTGCTGCGCCAGCGGCGGGCACGGGCGCACACTGGCGTCAAGTGGGAACAGGGCGCTGCTGAGGGCAGCTCCATAGCCCAGCCCTTCATAGCCGGGCTTCGGGCTTGGATAGTCAGCGGGTGGTGGTGGCCTTCGTGTATGAGGAAGAAGGTGTGGGTGGAGAAGACGAGGGAGAGAGAAAGAGAGAGATGAGGATGATGATGTGAGGGCACGTACCTGGTCTTGGCGATTGTCTATAAGGGTCGACATCTTCATGTACTTTGGTTCGGCTGCTAACTTCAACAGTTGCATTGTCATTTCGTAGGCTGGTAGTAGATGCGTGACTGTAGTCTGGGCGCCGGGCGCCAGATACGGGGGAGAGCTCTGAATACTTATGTTGGTGATGGCGAGAGTATGCTCGCATTGACACGCGGATTCAGTGTTTTGGTTATCCACTGGTGCAATATGGGTGCAATTCTGCTTTCTGGACAGTGTCGGACTTTCTGGCTTTCAATGCGATTTTGCAATCTGGAATCGTCATTTCGCTATTGCTCATTTTCCTTACAGTGTCAGCAAAGCATCAACAAACAATGTACATCTAGATACATATCAAAATAGCACAATGTAGCGCAACGGAAGACTCAAAGATATGGCCTGACCTGTCAAATACTGACGCGACACCCCATCATACACCACACATGTGTGCGAGAGAGAGGATGGACCGCATACGCAGAAGAAAGGTCTCTCCTTGATCACACACATGGGGAGATACCACGGATGAGGAGATTGGGGGGGGAGGCGAGACGGAGATGGAGATGAGGGAGAAGACCAAGATCGTGATAGCGAAGTCCAAAAATGGTCTCCCTGCCGAATGTCCAATCAATGTTTGCCATAAAAATGTCAAATCAGAACCTGGGCCTCCTGGCCAGATGTAACCTATGCCTGCAACCTTTCGCTCTCTTCCTCTTTGAAAGAAAAAGAAGAAGAAGAAGAAGAAGAAGAAGAAGAAGAAGAAGAAGAAGGCGACGAAGAAGAAAAAGAAGAGGAAGAGGAAGAAAGAAGAAGAAGAAGAAGAAGAAGAAGAAGAGGAGAAGACGAAGAAGACGAAGAAGACGAAGAAGACGACAACGACGAACGACGAAGAAGAAGAAGAAGAAGAAGAAGAAGAACAAGAAGGAGAAGAAGAAGAAGAAGAAGAAGAAGAAGAAGACGAAGACGAAGACGAAGAAGAAGAAGAAGAAGAAGAAAATGTTGTCCTCCTCGCTATCTCACCTGTAGGCCGCCATGCACTAACTGTCGTCGTGTGACTCCTCTGTACTGCAGGGCGTTGGCGCAAAGACCAGCTATGGCGCCCAGGTAAGATCCCCGCCGATGCAGGTATGGCCTCCGCCTCACTGCCTACCTACCTCTACCTCTAGCGTAGCGCTGTCGCGCTGCTCCAGCAGCATGTCGCCCTAGAAGTGAGCTACTTGAAATGTGTTGTGGCCCAGCTATAAGTAGCGCTAGGCCTTGCGGGTGTGCCCTCCGTGTGCCTCTCGTCCTAGGCCTAAAACGGCCTACTCGGTCTGGGTCCCGACCGGTCGTCCAGATTGTTACATGCCCAATCGGGCACTGAGAGTTCAGCCAAGGATCCGCATTGTGATGAAAAGGACTGAATGGACAGTGGACAGCTAACGTAATATCAACAGACAGTGTGTACATCCCGATACGTGAACAATGGCATTTAATAGCACAGCGGAAGACTTGGAGATAAGTCCTGCCCTGACCTGGACTGTTACGACATCCCATCATACATCACACATGTGAGAGGGAGGGAAGGGACCGCATACATAGACGAARGTCCCTCCTGCATACACGCACATGGGGAGATACCACGGATGAGAGATGGAGGGGGGAAGGAAGGACGAAGATGGAGGCAAGGGAGAAGACTAAGATCGCAA